TACACAAAAAATTTCAAAAAAAAATCGGTCAAGGCGTTTCGGAGGAGATTGGTTACAAACACTGTGACACCAGAATTTTATATTAGATTATTTTAGAAAAAAATTCATTACCATAAAAAAAGTTATACTGAGTTGACCTTAAAAGATTGACGTATGCTGTCGCGGACTTTTTTTTAGAACTTTTAGAAGGGAACAATTCCATCATACATGATTTTTATGCAACTTTAACCCTTTAATAAGCAGCGTAAGCAACGGAAGCTGTCAAAGGACGAATAATTTCCCCGTTTTTCCGATATTTTTCATTGCTGCTCCGCTCCTATTAATCATAGGATGATGTTATATAGCCTATAACCTTCCTCGATAAACGGACTTTCCAACACAAAAAGATTTTTTGAGTTCAAACCAGTAATTTCTGAGATTGGCGCGTTCAACCAAACAAACTCTTCAACTTTATAATATAAGTAAGTATAGAAGTATAGATAAAATGCCACTTTTTTTTCAATCTCAAAATTGTTTTCTTCTTGCTTTTCAATGGACACAAGTTGATACAAAATTTGACACATCTAAGCTTCTAGCAATTTGATTTCCATTTGAGAGATTCAATGAAGATAATCTGCATTGGCTCATTGTTTCTTAAAAATTTTGTAGTCATTTTTAATTTCGAAAAAGATCTTTCCGCTGAAACCACCGAAAGAGGTATTGTAAGAAAAGTGAAACATGCTGTGATAATTTCAGTGACATTAGTACAGGTAGGTCATTCTGTAATAATTTCCCAGTCCAGTTTTTTTTTACTTAAAAAATTAGTTGTAACATACGTCAGATATATTTTATTATTCCAAAAAAGCACCACAAGTACAAAATTAAAATAGTTTTGAAAATACGAAAATTTTCATAAAACACAACTGAAACTGATTTTTTTTTTTCACGTTTTATTACAGCATGAAGTTTCACTGTAGAACTGAGGACAAAATTTAAGTATTTTGTTGTCTTGCATCATAAATTAGTCATACTTTTGTCGGATAAAGATTGGTAATTTACTACATGGGGTGTTAGATTTGCTACAATGGGATTGCGACACTGCGACAGGTTTATTACAAACAGATGCTGCTGCATTTTCGACCGGCGGTGCCGGTCGCTAAAACCCGAGTTTATTGAGTCTATGATATTGAGATGCCGCCCTTTGCAGCAAAAAATTCGTAAATAGCAATCAACCATCGATCCTGGGATTACAGCACATTTTCGAATTTTTTATTTCAGGATGTAATTTGGGCAATAATATAAAAAAAATCTAATAAAAAAATGTTCGTGTGACCGGACCGGGCCCCTTGAAGCAGCGGGCCCGTGTTCCGCTGAACACGTGGAACACCGGTAGTTACGCCACTGAGTCAAAGACAGATTGCAAGACCAATGAAGATTAGTTTGGGTTCGGTTTTAAAGCCAAACCGATTTCATCCATACCATATGACAATTATTGTCCAACATTTAACAGAACGCGATTTTATCCGACGGTTAGTGTTTTGCGAATTCGTGAGGGCTCAATTACGAAACAATCAAGATTTTTTATTTAACGTTTTGTTTACGGATGAAGCCACATTTACCAATAACAGGTGTGGAAACAGACACAACTTACTATGCCCAGCAAAATCCCCATTGGTATCAGGAAAAGCACTTCCAAGAAGTGTTCAAAGTTAAGGGGGAGCTGAAGTAAAATATTTTGTCGGTGCGGATTATTAGCACCGAAAATCTCTACTTGGATGGGCGACTGTACTAATTCCTTGTCTGAATAAATTATTACCTGAGGACGGTCGTCCGTCCTCTGTTTGTTACAAGTCGAGTATGTTTATTTTCTATTTTGCAGGTAAATTTTACAATTATCTAAATAATCTTCACTTTTTTTTTTTTTTTTGTATTAAGAAAGGCATCATGTTCATCAATATAAACCAGAAGAATAACAGACAATGAAACTACCATTTTAGAGGTGACAGATTTAGTAAGTATATTAAATATTTTCAAAACGAGCAAATAATAATCTACACATAAATAGTATGCAATAGGAGTATAATTTATAGTAATAAAAAAATAAAAAAAGTATGTAAGAATGAAGGGGAGGCATACGTTCAAAATTGGACAGACAGCTTATAGACAGACAGATACATAGATTATAAAAAATTTGCTCGAAACTAATTTCGACCAAACTTTCCGAAAAACAGAGAATGATAATTTAAAATGATGTCAAATTTATAAAATTAATAATGACGAATTAATACAACAAAAAAATAACCATCAGTTTTATTAAACTTAAAATTAAAGTTGTTTTTTAACTTTTAGTGATTTTTTTTCTCTGTGTGTTTTTAAAATATAATCAGGATTTCGAATAGATGATACCCTACGTCTCCTAGGATCAACAAGTTCCGGAAGAACGCATCCGTAATAAAATTTTTGGAGTTTTAGAACCATTTTTTTACAAAATTTTTCGTCATATCCAACGTATGTAATTTTAACCCCTTTGAGTGTCCAAATGGCAAAAATACAAGATTTCTTTTTCGTTATGTGCAACTGTCCTTGCATTTGGTAACAATACACATGTTCCTTATTTACTCTTTTTGTCCATTTTATGGTGAAAAGAGGCATTCTGCTTGAAAAAACAAACATTATAGTAAAATTGTTTGCATTTAATTTTGATAGGTATGTATATTTAAGTTTTTAAGTTCGATTTTCTAAATATTTTCAACATGTACAGTTGCGGCCTTCCAAAATACAGGATAATTTTCTCTTTTGTAAATGTATATAGATATGTTCAAATCATGGGCGTTCAAATAACAAAGTTTGTCAAATTTGACATTTTGTTTATTCAAAAATGCTACGTCACTGGTAATAGCCAGACTTACATTAATTTAAAAATTCAAAAAATTCCATAACAACGAAAAATCGTGCAAATTTGGGGGGTTGCAACTGTACATCGCTACATAAAAATTGTATGTTGATTGTCTTTTGTTTTAAATTATATTGTCATTGACATATTTTTTAATGGCAACTTTTTTTTTGAAGAGTGAAAATTTTTGAAAGTTTTTCTACAGCTATAGGTATATGAACATAAACATTTGATTATGCTAGATTTTTTACCAAATAATGTATTTTAAAATATAATACGACTGTGGCGATTAAAATTTAAAAAGTTTTTTCCGTCAACTATGGAGTTCCTGTTGAAGAAAATGACATTGACGACTCTCAAACAAGAAATCATTTAAATTTTTTTTTTTGTAAAAATGTATATTTCCAAAATACAAAATCTATTTCTATTTTACTTGCAAGATGTAACGTGTGAGTCATAAAATCTTTCCCCTGAGTTAGCAATAAACATAAAAGATATGATCAATTTATACTATTAACAGAAAGAAATCTTGTTAGAGCTTTTTATGATTTTTAAGTTTCTACTGTATATAGGTATTTAACTTGTGAAATACGTACAAACGTACATACCTGTTTATATAAATGCAGTATTCTAATGAACAGATACATTTTCAGATTGATAAAATGACCACAAACTGTAACCACTTGTATATATATATATATATATTGCTACAAATGCCAGTTGCCAACTAATATTAGGATCCTCTGACCAATCACTGTGTAGATCAAAAGTAAGAAGAAAATAAAATGTGAATTTTTGTGAAAATTAGCTAAATAATTTCTAATAAAAAAATCTCCTGAATCGTAACACAATTGGCCTCTTCACTTTAATCCGTTTATCTATGAGTGATAAGTTAAGCTCTTTAGGCGTATACCTGCTCTCATCCCCAGTAAACCAGAAAATTACTCAGCTTGAAAAATATTTCCGAATCTGTTTTTTCGGCATGTGTTTTAGAGTTTATTAATTATCCGATTTTCATTTTTCAAAAACATATCTACTCCAGAATAAATTTACTACAGATGTCTGTAAGTAAAATTTGGAAATTTTCCTTACAAGTCATAAATAATAAAAACACTCAAAATTTCAGGAATTGTAAAGCTTAAAAAGTATGTTCAAATACAGTTTTTTCAAAAAACTAAAAAGCAGATCTGTAGAGTTTTTTCCGTGGATTATATATACGAAAAATTGTTGTGATTGGACCAAGGGTTTTCCGTAAAACACGTGCCCCGTTTTACATTATTTCCCCTATGCCGACATCTACTTCAGCTCCCCCTTAATGCTTGGTGTGGACTTGTTGGTAACCACGTCGTTGGTCCACATTTTTTTAAAGGAAATTTAAACGGACCTATGTCTCTAAATTTTTTAAAGAATATTTTACCTACCTGTTGGAAAACCTAGAGCTAGACATACGAAGAATAATTTGGTTTCAAAATAATGGCGCTCCCGCTCATTATCAGAGAGACGTTAGGAACTATTCACATAGAGCGTTTGGATCAAGACTTATTGCTAGCGAAGAAGAGTACGCTTGGCCTGCACAGAGCCCTGATCAAACGCCATAAAATGCGTGTATATTTGGTTGCCTATATTTGCCGCCGCAACATCGTTACTTCGTAGTTAAAAAATCCACCACTTTTTTAAACTTATTAGTGGGCATATGTTAAAAAATAATACATATTAATAAACAACCGTATAATAAGTTAAAGTAAAGATGTTATTTATATCTTTACTCTAACTTACTATACAGTTTGGTTTATTAAAAATAAGTAAATAAATAAATACATAAATAAATAAATAAGTAAATAAAATTCGGAAACTTAAATTTTATAATTTTTCGAACAAGCTGTATTTGTTCGGTATGCTTAGAGAAGTTCTGTCTAAAGCTCTTTGTACCAATTTTTTTGTCTCGTACACACGAACACACGTGGATTTGTGGTCAATTTTATAAAGACTTTTTCTTATTCCTTATAAAAAAAATCATCTTGCACTGAAATCCGAAACATTGTTTATTGTACGTATTTCATTAAAACTAAAAAAAGCTTAAAAATATAACTCCGCATTTAAAGTTCCCGCCAAGAATTACTGGCGCCATCACGACATTGTACGGCCAGTGCTCCAAGCAAACAGTCTTGGAAATACAGGCCAGCGTCCTAAAATTTATTTCCTTTTCGATTTCCCATTTCTTAAGTTGCAAGATTCTATTAAGTACGGATAATAATTTACCAGGTGAGAATTAATAGCTCCACTGCGAATAACTTATACATCCAACGCACCTTTTCTCGGTTAATACCTCGATGCTTCTTGTGCTTTTATTTTTGTTGATCTGCAACTAAAAAAATTCACATGCACTTGCTAGCTACATAAATACAGCTGCATTCAAAGAAACAGTTATCAGAGCTGGAAGTGTATCAGTCTCAGCCGTTTCATTTTCACTTGAACGTTTACCACATCATGACTACAGATTATCAATATTATGTGACTCATGTTAATAATTTGTGAGTCATGTTCTCTTAAAATTGTAAAAATTCGTTATTACAACAACACGTGTTTCAGTGTGATGGATACAGACGAGGGAGAGTCAAGCAGTGGAGGACCACTGTCCAGTTTCAACAGCTTGTTTTCTTTCACAAGTCCTGCAGTTAAGAAGCTGTTGGGATGGAAACAAGGAGACGAAGAAGAAAAATGGGCCGAGAAAGCCGTTGATAGTTTGGTAAAAAAATTGAAAAAGAGGAAAGGAGCAATCGAGGAATTGGAAAGGGCCTTGTCGTGTCCAGGTATTTTTTTATTGTATTAATTTTTCACATTATTATTTTGGTTCCATAAATTGGTGTTTGTAATTTTTAAATTCGCGCACAAAAATACTATTGGCCTTCCATAAGATTTAACTATACTGTGATGAAAAATGATAAAGGCTTAATTTTGACCAGTGTAGGGTGTTTGTATAATTATCATACATACAATACAATTCTACATTATTTGCTACCCATGTAAGTCAAGCCAATGCAATAAGAATTATAAGTCAAGTGAATGTTTTTAATCCACTTACCTATGTCATTTTGTCTGGCAGCTGAATGTATTGGCTAAAGCTTCATATAATGTTCTTAATTTCATTGCTACATTATTATGATTTGCATAGTTTTGTTTCTAGGTTTCGATTATTTTGGTATTTTTCATTTGCCTAACATATTATCAAAACGTTAGTCACTACATTTAAATGTCAAATAATAATAGAACCACGCTAAATGACGTTCCTTTGGTACTACGTTTTTTCTGCGAATTTAATAAATGGTATAGTGTCCCCAGTTCTAATTCGGTTTTATGATGTGAAAAGTTAACTTTCTTAACAACAGATTACTACTGCCGGCCATGGGACAGTCATAAATAACGATTTAACCATGATGTTACCATTATACAATATAGTGGTTAAATCCTTATTTATGACTGTTCCATCTCCAGTAGTATTAATCTATCGTTAAGGAAGTTAACTTCTACACAATGGGGTACTACCATAAAAACGAATTAGAACTGGAGAAACTATACCATATTAAACAACAAATGCAACTAGTGCATACAAGAAGAAAACGACTGAAATTTCGTAAATAAAGCTGTGTTAAAAAGGTATGAATTTTATGCACTGATCAGGGACGACATTTTATGAGTAGTTTACAGTACCCTATGGGGATTGGGTACCTTGCCGTACCTGCTAATGTGCAGGGTCAGATTTCAAAATATTTGAGAAATTTGCCAAATTCTCCGCCTGGTCAGGGCAGGGGATTATTCCTTTTACAATAGCACTAACTGGTGGCAGGTATAGCTGTTTTCAAAATAAGATTAACACTACCTGGAAAACTGGCTTGACTTTTAGGTGGAATGATTGACAGCCTGTACCAGGTATAATGGATTACAGAATTACAGTAAGTGCGGTCCTGTTATTCCAAGTTTGAGAAACAGCGCTCTTTGTCTTCATCCGAAAGCGATGCCCACTTACCGTTTGGGGTTGGAAAACCCTAAAACTCAAGTCAGTTTTCCAGGTAGTTTTACTCTCTTGTTTTGAAAGCAGTTATACCGACTTTGACATTCGCCTCTTTCTTGTAGAATTTAAACACAATTTTTATTTCTATATTTTGAGGTTCAATTTTCTTTAGCCACTTGTTTGTTTCCAATTTCACTTTTTTTTTTGTTTATACATTCTTCAACCATATAAACTTAGTTTGCTATTGCTACTTATATTTTTTCATATTACACCTTTTTCAAATAATCTATTAAATTTCAAGTATTATCCAACACCAACATTTAAAAAATATAATCTACAGAAAAATCCAAATTTTATTTTTTGGATTTGTTTATAAAGGATGACGCAAAAAAAACAACGAATGCTTATATTGCTTATCCCCCCAAAAAATTGATGACGTCACTTCAAAATTTTACCAAATAAATCTAATCTTAAATGTGCAAAATATGATGAGTCTATACTTGTGATTTACCACTGTATTAATATTTTGTAGATTTGCTTATACGGGGTGTCTAAAAAAAAATAATGACTGAGTTAATTTATTTTATTGAATAAATCAAGAATTACAAATTTGAAAACTTTGAGATTTTGTAGCCGATTTAAAGTTAAAAAAATACATATATCTGTTTATTCTGTCCAAAATATGGTGAAATTTTACTTGTGATTCATTATTGCATTCATATTTTTTACTGATCAAATTAAGAACGAGTCACCCCATTTTCCCGAAAATGTGAAAATACATATGTCTTTATTTAATAAGAACTATAATAATGATATTCAGATTCAAATCATTAAATACATATTATTTTTGAAACTAAAATGCATTTTATCCTAAGATTGTATCACAAAATATTCATCACCATTTAAATATATACGATTTAGACATCAAGAAATAAATTTAAAATTGCAAAAATTATACTAAAACAGCCTTAAATGTGTCTTGTATGTACGTGCTTATCAGTATGTAGGCATTTTAACGCACAGCAATAATCGTTCTTGATGAGTAATGACTGATGACTACTGTAACACAGTAAATCCTCGAAATCGAATATTTAAAACACTGAAAAATTCAAATATGGGAAAATTGTAAAATCGAGAAATCGAAACATAAAAAAATCAAAAAAATTAAAATTGGAAAATCTAAAATTTAAAAATCGATGGGTTAATTCAAAAATCGAAACATCGAAAAATTGGAAAATAGAAAAATAAAAAAAATTGGACAATCGAAAATTGAAAAATTCCGAAAATTGAAAAATTGAAATATAGAAGAATTGAAAACTCAAAAAATCGAAAAAAATTAATAATTTCAAAAATTGAAAAGTTAAAATTGAGAAATCGAAAAACTGAAAAATCACAAAATTGAACGAAATATCCAAAAGTTAGGAAATTAACAAAATGAGAAACAGAAAAGTAAATAAGCAGAGTCTAAAAATCGCAAACTTAAAAAATCGAAAAATTGAAAAATCAAAAACCTGAATAATCGAAAAATTGAAGAACTAAGGAATTGAAAAAACGAATTGAGAAATCCGAAAACTAAAAATTCAGCAACGTCAAAATTTGAAAAATAAAAAAATATTGAAGAACTGAAAAAACGAAAAATCTAAAATTTAAAACATTGAAAAGTTAAAATATCCTAAAACTGAAAAATGGAGAAATCCAAACATCAAAAAATCAAAAAAAAAAAAAAATCTTAAATTTAATAATCGAAAAACTGAAAAACGAATCGAGAAGTCGAGAATTTAAAAAATTGGACAATTGAAAAATCGGATAAATCAAAAATCTAAACATCGAAAAATCGAGAAACCGAAAAGCAAAAAATCGAAAAACCAACAAATCGAAAAATCGAAACATTGTAAAATTAAAAAATTGAGACATCGAGAAATCGAAAAATCAAAAGACAAAAAAAATCGATGAGTCGAAAAATCGAGATGTTGAAAAATCAAAAAATTGAGAAACCGAAATAGGCCAAAATCGAAAAATCGAAAACTTAAATATGGAAAAATTGATAAAGCGAGAGATTGAATAATCAAAACATCGAAACATCCGAATCTCAATGAATTGAGATCTCAAAAAATTTAAACATTCGTAAATTTAAAAAATTAAAATATAGAACTGGAAACTCGAGAAACTGAAAAATCTAGAAATTTAAAAATTAAAATATGAAAAAGAAGAAAAATTGAGAAATTGAAATAAAAAACAAAAAACTGAAAATCCAAAAATAAAAAATAGAAAAATCTCTAGAAGTCGAAAAATGAAAGAATCGAAGTATTGAAAAATATCAAACCTGAAAGAAATATCCAAAAATTGAGAAATCGACAAACCAATAAAGCGAAGTCGAAAAATCGAAGAATTGAAGAACTGAAAAATCGAAACTTTGAGAAGTGGGAAAATCAAAAATAGATTTATTGAGAAATCAGAAAACTGAAAATTTAACGCAAAAATTTGACAAATTCAAAAATTTAAATACTGAAGAACTGAAATCGAAAAAACTAAAATTTAAAACAATGAATAATTAAAATATCGCAAAATTGAAGAATCGAGAAATCCAATTCAATTTGAAAAATTGAAAAGCTCAAAAGAAAAAAATCGAAAAACCGAGAAATCCAAAAATCGAAACATCGAAAAATTCAAAAACTGAGACTAAATCGAAAAACCGGAGGATCGAGAAATTGAGGAGCCGGAAGCCGAAAAGGAAAGTTAAAAATTGAAAAATTGAGAAATTGAACAATCAAAACACGAAACATCTGAATTCGATAAATTGAGAAATTAAAAATTTGAATAATCGAAAAATTTTAAAAAAGAAAAACTGGAAAATCAAAAATTAAAATTCAAAAAATCGAAAAATTGAAATATAGAAGAACTGAAAACTCGAGATATCGAAAAACCTAGAATTTTAAAAAATGAAATATTAAAACATCGAAAAGTTTAAAAATTGAGAAATCGAAGCATTAAACAGTCCCAGAATTGAAAAATCTAAAGTTTACAATAAATTGAAAATCCAAAAAGGAAAAAAGCGAGAAATCAAAAAAAATCCATCAATTCAAAAATCGAAAAGTCGAAAAATTAAAATATTGAAAAATCTCATAACTGAAAGAAATATTCAAAAAATTGAGAAATTAAAAAATTGGAAAATTGAGAAATCGAAAATCTAAAAAAGCAAAATTGAAAAATCGTAATCTTAAAAAATCGAAAAATTGAAGAATTGAAGATGTGAAAAATCGAAACTTTAGGAATTCCAGAAATGGACAAATAAAAAAAATACTTTAGAAATCGGCAAACTGAAAATTTAGAAACGTGAAAATTTGAAAAATTGAAAAATCGAAATATTTAAAAACCGTAAAATTGAAGAGGACAAAAATTGAGAAATCGTATCATTGAAACATCGAAAGATTGAGAAATCGAAAAATAAAAAAATCGAGAAATAGAAAATTTAAGGAATGGAGGAATCGGAAAAGCCCAAAATTGAAATATTGAAAAATTGAGACATTTAAAGTTGAAAAATCGAGAAATCGACAAGCCGAAAAATCCCAATAGCGTATTTAGGTATAAATCACAAGATCAGGACTATTCTACTTTTTAAAATTTAAATAACATTATAAATTGGAAAATGTTGATTTTTTTTTTTCAAAAATCTTGACGTCTAAGGTGAAAACTCGACACGGATGCATAAACCGTAAACGGGGCGAAACTACAATTTTACTATTGTAAAATTTGGAGATTGCGTCATTTTATTGTTGGTGACAAATTTTGGTGAGTGTTTTACCATTTGATAATACAATTTGAAATGTAAATTTTGTCATTCGGAAACATTATGTATTAAATCGTTAAGACGTTCAAGAACTTTGTTCACTTATTCGTTGTAAAGTCCAATGGTCGAAATGGGTTAGTTCTTCGTAGTGGATGTATACCAGATCAACTCTAACGAATATCGGTTTATAGATAAATCGCTTAAAGCCGATATTGGCCTGAGTGTGCTTTGGTCTGTAGATCAAACAAGTTCTCACGCGACGAAAAATTGCATGTGGAGGGAGACTTCGGATTACAAATCGTGCCAAGAAAGACATATTTGGGAGAGATGGATTTTCAGGTGCTTGACTAGCGGTAATTTTAAATTGTTTGCTGTCGTTCGCGAAGTGAAGAACACAATTTCATTAAAATGATAATTATAAAATTATCACAATCACTATTGGTGTTAATTAACACAAAATGGCGCGCAAGTTATCAGTTGATTTCGTTAATAAATTCATAGAAACCTATATGGGATTTTTTCATGCCTTAGAAAATTAAAAAGTAAAAAATACAATAACAAAAATTTTAAAATGCGGTTTCGAAAAATTAGTTGACCTGTGCAAAGAAGAAAATTTTGGAAACGCTGACAAATATGACATCTTAAAAAAAAAAACACTTGAAGAAGTGCTTTCGGCGTAATATTTTTGATGCTCGCGTGAACAAAATACTCTATGTCAGTGCGCAAAGAGTTAACTGTGCAGATCTAGCCGAAAATCCGAAAACCAAATCGCTGTGTGTAGGGCCAGCATAACGGAAGTAATAAATCATCCCATCGGTTGAAGAACGTTGGGTCGGTACACTGATGTCGGTGCTATATCCCGAGAGGGGCCCAATACACCCAATAAAATGGAACAGACAAAATAAAGCTTCAAACATGATTATTTTTATACTAAAATTCTGAAGTTTATAAACTGCACAATTTATTTATTTATTTATTTTATCTTGTTTTCGAACTAATAATATTAGTGTGATTTTGACTTTATTCTAGATTTTATTACAGCAGAACGGCGTGTCCTTTTTAAATTTTAGAAGTTACGGAAACTAGTTCAAGAAACAATTAGTTATCTCGTGACGTATTTTTGGAACAAAATCTACCAAAATGTCCAATAACAGCAATTGTTTTTCATATAAACAAACAGTCTTCAAAGCAGCCTTTAACAACTCCATATTACAAACATGCCTCTTAAGTTCTTAATGCGTTTTTTTCTCTCTTGTAATTATTTGTAATGTTAACGCCGAAAGTTTATGTCATTCTGTTATTTACTTTGAACATATATTTTCATTTTGTGTTAATATTTTTATAACACCACGAATCTAAATTTTACTTAAAATCTTGTTTTACTTTAATCTTGTAAAACTAAACAATTATACCAGTTTAAAAACCCTTGGAAAGTTTCTGTCAGTCTTCAGATATAGTCAAATAAAAATAGGCGTCAAATTCATTTAAATTCAATTCTTTCGTATCACGTATGTTTATACACGTTACTGTTTACGGAACAATGTTAATTATGGATTTATGGATAACTCCTCGTATAAGAGCAGAGTGAAGGGTGTTTGCCTTTGCTAATGTTTGATGGCGCCATCTGATGTAGAGTAAAATAAACCTAATACGTTGGCTCACTGTAGTGAAAATGCGCGTTGACGAAAAATTTGTCCCACGCCCCCTGGATTCCTTGTCCTAAAGCTCACTATTTAGGCGAAGTAAAATTTGTATTAGGTTGTCCAACTATAATATACTTAAACAATGGTATTACACTGCATCTATCTAAATAGATATATGCGTCCTTGCAAAAATGTGGATGACGTAAACACAACATTTTTTGATAGAAAAACTTAATTGTATCAAACGATTAGCACGTTTCTTTGCCTTTACTCAAACATTAGATACATATTTTTATGTTAGCTTACAATGGTTGGCAGAAAAACAAAATCAAATCTTTTAATTTTTCGAAAGAGCTGTATTTGACAAGCTATACTTTCTGGGCGGGGGAAGTTCTGTCGAATCTTCGACCATTTTTTTAATTTTGCAGATACTATACATACATGCTTTGAAATTCCATCATTCAGCACCATCTATCTGAATTAATAGAATCGATAAATAATATGTTTACGCGCGAACTCAAAAACATAAAAACTTGTCAAAAAATGTTTGTTTTGACGAAGCTTTGAAAATAATATATTGTTCAACGAGTGAAAAAATTATTCCAAGAGGATGAGAGTTTCCGGAACGAGCCAAAGGCGAGTGGAATGACCAATTTTTCACGAGTTTGACACTATACTTTTTCTGCTCATATAATCAAGAAAAAGACACAAAAATCCAGAATTATTAATTTTTGAAAAAATGATGACGTGTAAACAAAACATAACCAGGGTACCTAACGCATCGATAAGTTCAATTTCAATAGATTGAAAAATGGTCAATTTTCTCAATCCAAAATGCAGTAAAAAGTTAACATTTTCTCAATATGAGCAAAAAAAAACAATGTTCGAAATCCCTAGCAATGAACAAGTTCGAAATAAATGATTTGATGTGCTTGTCAAAGTGACTGGTAATTTGGGAACTAAAAGACAACAATTTTGATTTTCAAATAAATCGTAGATAACGTTTTTATCACAGAAAATACTCGGATTTGCAAAATTCATTTCGATCCAAAACATGTAAAGGTACAGTAGCGGAAATCTAAAGTCGGACAGCACTTTTTGTATACTATAGAGTCAAATATTACTTGATTGTTTCATATCACTGTGGAAATAGTAAAGCATTAATAAAGGTGGCCTAGGTAATAAAATCCTAGCTTACCAAAATTGGTGAAACAGTTATAAAAATATCAACTTGATGCACGACTTTAAATTTTCTGCACAAATTGTGCCGTTTTACTAAGGATGCTGTTTCTTTCGTAGCTGTAAATTTTACAAAATTATGCGCTCATTAATTTTAACAAATACATTGCAACCTTTTGATTGCGTTCCCGACAAATACCCTAAACATTGTTTCGCTTTCTCATATCAACCTTATCGGTTTAAAGTTGGCCATAGTCCGTTGTAATTCTAGTTCTTATGATCGCCTAAGTAAGAAGCGTATGCTTACCTTGAAGTCGAATGTCGTGTCCTGAAGTCATGTAGTATTTTTGTCGCTTGAATGGAAACTCAAATTACTTTTGCAGTAAATAAATCGTTCCCGTTAACTTATTTTTCATTGTTTGTTTTTAGGCACACAAAGTAATTGCGTGACCATTCCGAGAAGTTTAGATGGCCGTTTGCAAGTGTCGCATCGGAAAGGTCTTCCTCATGTAATCTATTGCCGAGTATGGCGCTGGCCAGATTTACAGAGCCACCACGAGCTCAAACCATTAGAGCATTGCAAATTTCCCTTCTCAGCCAAACAGAAAGAAGTTTGCATCAATCCCTATCATTATAAGAGAGTGGAGAGCCAAGTTTTACCTCCTGTCCTCGTACCCAGACACAGCGACTACGTCCCAGGGCATTCGTTGTTACCTTTTCAACAATTAGTAGAGCCCAACATGCCCCACAATGTCAGCTACTCGTCTAACGGGTTCAACTCCAATCACCTAAGCCCAAATTCACCACTGTCGAGTGTATCTAGTCCCGGTAGTGTTTCCTCGAACCCGCAATCTCCCTACTCAAATCTTGCTGAAACGCCGCCTCCGGCATACAGCCCCACCGACGAAACCACCAACAACAATACCAGCCCCCAGCCGTCTCTCAATTCTGACGTACAACCAGTAGCCTACCAAGAGCAACCCTACTGGGCTTCTATTGCCTACTACGAACTGAATTGCCGCGTAGGCGAAGTTTTTCATTGTCACTCCACATCCGTAATCGTCGACGGATTTACCAACCCAAGCAACAATAGCGACAGATTTTGCTTAGGCCAGCTGAGCAACGTCAATAGGAACTCCACAATTGAGAACACGAGACGACACATCGGGAAAGGAGTTCATCTGTACTACGTAAACGGCGAGGTTTACGCCGAATGTCTCTCGGATTCTGCAATTTTTGTACAGTCCCGAAACTGCAACCATCACCACGGGTTCCATCCGTCTACAGTCTGTAAAATTCCGGCTGGGTGCTCATTGCGAATTTTTAATAACGCAGAGTTCGCCCAACTGCTAACAGAATGCGTAAATCACGGTTTTGAAGCCGTCTACGAATTAACAAAAATGTGTACTATTCGTATGAGTTTCGTCAAAGGTTGGGGAGCAGAGTACCATCGACAGGACGTAACAAGTACTCCTTGTTGGATCGAGGTACATCTGCACGGACCATTGCAGTGGTTGGATAAAGTGTTAATCCAAATGGGAGCTCCACACAACGCTATTAGTTCAGTGTCTTAACTATGTAAGTATGAAGGGGTGTAATTTATTTTGTGATTTTTGTTAGGGTGCAATTACGTATGTTGAGTTCACTCCTTTTGTGATAAGACATAACACAAATTTTAAGATATTGTTAACTTCAGTGCCATTTCAAGGAATTTTTTCCAAATATTCACGTTACGTATAGATGATTAAGCGTTTTTAATTAAACATAAAAAAGGATGCAATTTTTCATTCTTTGATTTTGTTAACAGGCACTTGAATAGAAAATAATGTATTCTCGCGGATTGCAACTGAAAGAATCTCTTCATGCATCTGTTGGCATTGTGAGCACGCAGGATGCAAGAGACGGCGTGAATATGCAAAAAGTGCAACCAGTTATGCTAATTGATCAGATTATAATTTATGGTGGGAAAATTTATTACATACGCGATGCCTTACGGTAAAGTGCATTTTTATAACGATTTAACGTCAGTAATTTATTTGTACGGGAACTTAGGAAATCATTAAAACCTCCAAGTAATTATACAGTTAGTTGTACGTGTCTTTTTTACTGATCTCTAGTTATTTAGGATTAACAGGATGGTGGAATATATTGTTTGATTCTTTGGTGTATACAGGTACAGCTTACAACACATATAATGAAATATATTAACTTTCCTAATGTTGATAGTTCTAACGTTTGTGTGAAAGACCTGTTACTAGAGTCAATTTTTTTCTTTTTTATTTATTTACAGTACTTTGTGTTTCCAATGTTTTGATATTTTTAAGAGTATATTTCTTAGGACGTTTCTTTGTACTCAAGTACAAAAGACAGTCAAAATTTGTCAAACTAGACTAAAATTCATTATTCATAGTATGTAGAACGGCCCTTGATCTGGCATATTATAGGGCTTCCACAAAGGGCGGTTATTTATAAATATTCAATTATACCGCTTATTTTTGATATTTTAGCTGATTTAAAGAAATCTGAGTAACTCACCAAAAAAAAAAGAATAACTATCAATGAAATCATGTAACTACTTATCACCGTATGTCAAAATATTAACGTTTGGATTAAAATTAAAATTTGCTGCAATCTCTTTAATAACAATGAAACATTTAAAGCATATTTTTTTACAGCCTCGCAATTTTTTTTTTTTTTACTTTTTCCGAGTTGGTCTCTTAATTCATAATTATTAACTAAAAATATGTATAAGTAAACAAAAATCTGTACCTCTATACTGGGTGACCATTAATGATTGAAGCAAATTTTTGGTTTGGACATTCTGAATTATTGGCAGCAGTGATACCATGTCTGTCATAAACATGAGTGCGCCTAAAAACCAATGGGAAGGTGGCAGCTATTGAATTGGTGCGCAGAATTTCAAATAGACATTAGGTATGCCATTATAAAGTTTGAAACATGTCCCCAACCTGACAAAAAAAAAACATAGTAACTATTAATCACTCGGTAGTTATTATATTAGGTTCAACGGGTGATTGATCAAGCATAAATTAGGCTGGTTTTTTTTTTTTTTCGAGAGCTGACATAATTAAAAATAAACTTTGAGGGGTGCAATTACATTACTGTGCTTCAAAAGAGGTCCGCTCTATCACTGCTCCAATAATACTTTTTCTTTTTTGCATATTCTTCTGTTTGTGAATTTTGAAAATGCGCGACTGTTCTTTGTTGCAAGCAAATCGCTGTGGAAACCCTGATTATCAAAAAATTGGTACTGTCATATCAGATTCAACAGTGATGGCTTGTTTATGTTTTCTTTTAAAGGTACAGTGTGTAATTTTTTGTTTCAGGTTTTACTTTTAATCGTGTCACGGAAGAAAGTTTTTCCCTTTAACATGAAGCAATCATGCCGACAGTTGATCACTGAAAACTGCCAAAAAACGTTGCAAACTTGATAACATTGTCCAAACTTTGAAGTAATATACATCTATGTGAAAACCATTGTAAGCTGTACCTGATCGTGTTTTTATAACAAACAGGTTACGTTTCATGTAAAAATATTACTACATAGTGCGTGTATTAGGGTGCAAGGAGTTTTATAATCACGTTCAAGTAACTCTGCAGTGAATGTTATTTTATTTTGTGTGTTGTTCCATACATGCCTTAAAGATGTGACGTTATGCTTTTGTATATTTTTGGATGAATTTTGGCTTTTTATTATAAGATAGCCCTGTACAAGATTTAATGTTATTGATACTAAGCATAGGAATCGTACAAATTAATTCAGATAATTCTAGTAAATAAATAAATATTTATATACTTAAGTGTTTCAGAAGTTTATAATACTCGAATGTAAAAAAAAAACAAAAAAAGTTTAGTAGGTTTTTGAAATGACGTCGCCCATTTTTGTTATGGATTAGTGATTTTTTTGTGTTGCCATTGTTCTGTTGCTTACAGCGAGTTTAGATTTAATATAGTCTATCAAGTACACATTTGCATGTGTCGACAGTTTTATTTCGCCATTAATCATGTTCTGTTAATGTGTACTTGATGAGCGATAGGCTGATTTATTTGGTAAGTTGCAATATTTGTTATTTTTATGTTTTATAAATTTTCACAAAATATATTTAATGAATAAATTTATATTATTGTAACTTGTTTTTAATATTTTTTTAATAATATTTTATTTTGGCTTGTCAATTTGTACTTTAGGAAACCATAGTACCAATTTCTTTTGACTGCAGAAGTATATTAGTAAAATTCCATATTCTTTAGGGTACGTTTTGTGCTAGTGCAATTTTTTAGACTTTCTTAAAAATTCTTCGTTTTTGAGTGCTACGAAATTTCACGGATTTTAGTCCACTCAAAAGTTAAGATACTCTTCTATTAAAAGTAGTTAATTCAAACATTTTTTTAGAACACATGCTGCATTTTTGAGAGCCACTGTTCGCCAACTTTACGTGTAATTAATATGATAAAACCCACGCTTTTAAATTCAGACAACTGGGGGTAGTATTCTTACAGTAGAATTCTTGTAGTTTTGGCAACGTGCTGTAAGTTTTGATATTAGAACACCTACATTTAAACTAATTCAACTACACAATACAAAGGGCACTACTTGGGTTCAAATAATTACTACACCTGACATGGAAGTCACAAGTTATACTTCTCCGTTTTTTTTAAGTATGAATCCATTCAAAGGAGCAAAAAAAATTACCTCAAACCATAACGACCCGCTATTTGCGTGTTACGGAATAAAACAGAAAAACCCTTTTCTAAAGACATGCTGAATGAACAAATTAAAGATTTCTCAGAGAAAAAAAAAGGAGTTATAACCTGACGTTTCCTTGTAAGTAGGTTATCAATGGGTACTGTATCATCAGCGAACAAAATATGCTGCTTCAAAAACGTAAATTTATTACTTAAAACAGACTAAGTAAAAAGACCAAACGTTGGGATACTTGTGATACCGTTGTAAATGCAACTCTAGACCAAAAGCTAAAGACATGGAAGTCAGTAGCCACTTTTCCAGAGTACATCACCTAATAAACTAAGCCGTTAATGGGTACATTATAAAAATTAGAAATTAGTTTAAAACAAACATTAATGAATCGCAATAAGTCCTGACTCCAGCAATTTCTGTATTTTCGCAGCTATGTCAGGGTTCTTGAGATGATCTTGCAAGGCTCTGGGATCATTCTGCATCTGCTCTAGGATCATTCTCATCGCCGGATCTCTCAGAATTGATTGGACCTCAGGATCGGCCATAGCGCGTTGTCGGATTTTCTCCGGATCGCCTGAACCGCTGGCATTTTCTATACTACAAGTTCGGTAACCACTAATTGCTTCGGCGTTGTTCTGGTCGATCTCGAGAGCTTTCTGAAAGGCTGCGATTGCTTTGCTTGGTTGCTGCATTCCTTGCAAAATGTGCCCCTTTCTGATCCAGCCTTTGATGAACTTTGGATCCAGTTCGACACATTTTTCACAGTCTTTTAAACCGAGATCAAAGGCCGCGAGTTTTGTGTAACAGGCAGCACGATTACTGTACAGTTTCGCATCTTCGGGATTGCGTTTAATGGCTTCAGTGTAGTGTTTTACGGCAGTGGCGTATTCTCCTTTTTTGAATAAGTCATTTCCTGCAAAGAACCACATATATAATAATAATAATATATCATTTTGAGATGACGTCATCCATTTTTTGAAAGGAATAAACAGATATATTTTGATTTAAAATTTACCGTGTTTACGTCTGCAAGATTTCAAAGTATGTATTCATTTTTTCAATTCTTGATTTATTCAATAAAATAAATTGACTGATTCATTTTTTTTGAGTCACACTGTAAAAGCAACTCTAAAAATGATAAATTACAAGTGTAGACTGTTCATATTTTGCAAATTTTAGATAAGATTTTTTTATGAGGGATGAGCAAATACATTTTGAATAAAAAATTACCATGCTTATCTCCAAGATTTTAAAGCATCGGTTTTGCAGTTCCTGATTAAATAAATAAAATAAAATAAATTCATGCATTGATTAATTTTTTTGAGTCATCGTGTATAAGCAAAATATATGTGTTACAGCTAATATCCGAAATACGTTATTATGCCAGTGACTATGTATTTAAAAGACCGGCAACCCCGTATCCTTATGCGTACCAGTGAGTTAATATTGGCGGTCAGATGGCGCCCCAAAATGCGACAAAAGCCCTCTAACCTTCAATGGTTGTTACTAATACCATTTTACGGGTTGTTGTCTGAGCTTGTACAACACAACTACTGTAAGTGAATCGCTCTTGCAGCCGTTTTAGTTTGAAATTTAACAAGTCGGACGGCGCGGAAAATTACTGACACTTTGCGACTCGAATCAAATAAGGGTGTGGGGACCAAAAATCTGCGCAAGTTTCAAACTGGCATAACTTTATTATTGAATGACGAATTAAAAATGCAACTGTTAACATTTATAAAACAACTTTATAGAGTACGATTTGCAACATATCTACTTGCTTCACAAATTTTTGTTTTAACACGGCGCGGCGCATTAAATTTGTGAAAGCCAATATTTTTTTCTGCCAAATTTTCAGCAATACACACTGCTTAATTCTATATATGTGTGAAGGGTTCCTACCCTACATTTTTCACACAAATTCCACTTTAGATTTCTTCAAAAGCGTTCAATTGGTCGCAGTTGAGGGACGTTCGGAACATTTATGTCCTTAGGAATAAACTGAATATTTATATGTCATTTATGCATCAATAACGTTGGCAGTGTAATGATTCAGAATTTTTTTTTAATTTTTGCTTTTGTTCCAATTTTTGTTTTTCTGAACATTTGGGAATTGATTTTCGCTTTGCAAATATGATTTTATTCTCCCTTAGTAACGTACTTTTTGCCGATTTTAAATTTCTGTCCAAAATTTCTAAATGGCATTCCAAGTTTACCGTGGTTAGTGAGTATGGATGTTAAAAATAGGACACACTATTTACACTATTATATTACTAAATTACTAGTTATAATGTTCCAATACATGGTTACTGCCGTGGTTCTGACTGATTAAGGCTTCTCTCCTCTTCTGGGCCATTTTTGTTGCTGGAATTCCACTTCTTGTCTGTCTTTCTATCGAATTACCATTCTCTAGAGTTATAATTTGTCCTTTTTGATATCCCCATTTGGAAAAAGTGATTAAATGTGAAGGCCTTTTTTAAATGCATACGGTCTGTATAAAATTCGGCAAACACATTTCGGCAATTATTTTCATTCGAGTGTTCCATTTTCGCACAAAATATTAAACTTCTAGTGGAATTAGCGATAACTATTTTTGATAAGTCGTCGCCTGGGAACATGTTTGATCCACAGACCAGAGCGCGCTCATGCCAATGTCGATTCTAAGCGTTCAGAATTGAAAAAAGAAATTGAAAAGTTCCCAAAACTGATAATGTTGAAACAATTGAGAAATCGAAAAATCTATAAATCGAAAAATTTTAAAAATCGAAAAACCAAGATGGCAAAATTAAAACTTGAAAAATTCAAATATCGAAAAATTGTAAAATCGAGAAGTCTAAATATAAAGAAATAAAAAAAATTAAAATTTCAAAACAGAGAAATTGAATAATTGGATAAATGAAAAATCGAAACATCGAAAAATTGGAAAATTGAAAAATTTAAAAAAAGTGAAAAATCGAAAAATGAAAATGTAAGAACAACCGTTCCACAAAATCAGGTGTTCTACCTGAGCGCATTCATAATCTTTGTACAAATGTAAATACGTCCTATCTTTCGTCTACCTGCCCTACGCTCCTACATACTTTCTCTTTCCGTTTCTAGAATTTTCTAAACTATTTCTTTACCTACTACCACCTATTTGAAACCGAGCCTACCTGTCGACCATTCAAACACCCTTCGATCTTCTTCTCCCTGGCACTCTCAAGCAGTAAAAGGAACTAATTAAAATCTGAAAACCGTAACCGCCGCTTTTTCTAAAAATCACCAACGATACCCACAAAAAAAATGGAAAATCGAAAAATTAAAAAAAAACGGAAAATCGAAAAATAAAAAAAAATGGAAAATCGAAAAATAAAAAAAATGGAAAATCAAAAATTTAAAAATTCCAAAAATTGAAAAATTGAGATAGAAGAACTGAAAAGTCGAGAAATCGAAAAACCTAATATTTTAAAAACTGAAAAGTGGAGATGTACCGACTGTAGGTCTGGCCGACTGTTCGGCTTTGCTAAAACCGGTTTATAAATGCGACAGACAGTGTGTTTTTTTTTCTATTTCTCTAACTATCTTAAAAATTTGTTTTATTTTAATAAAAGGAATAACTAAAGTTCCCTCGTTTTCCAAAAAATGTGTTAAATTTGTTTGGATAATTTTAACATATAATTTTTTTTTGTAACTCAGTACAAAAATTAAAAATAACACAATTTATGGCCATTTTATACAATATTTTAACTGAGATTAAGTTGATCGCGCATTTAACAAGGCCATTAGCGACGTCTCATTGGCGTAGAGTCGGTCACATGGTACTTTAACGCGGGGTTAAAAATTAAATCGCAATTAAATATTTAATTGAGGTTCTGTAAACCGGGTTTAATTGTTTTATATACTTACTATTTTAATTTTAATAAAAAAAGCCGACCGATCGGCTGTTTTGCCGAATAGTCGCCGACTGCCAGCCGACGATGAAAAACGGCCGAATAGTCAGTTTATCCGACTGGTCGGCCACTAGTCGGTACATCCCTACTGAAAAGTTTAAAAAACGAAAAATTGAAAATTCAAACAGTAAAAAGCCGAAAAACTGAAAAATCACAAAATTGAACAAAATATTCAAAAATTAGGAAGTTAAAGAATTGAAAAATTGAGAAATCAAAAATTCAAAAAGCAAAGTCGAAAAAAGTAGATTAATTGAGGAATCGGAAATCTGAAAATTCTGAAACGTCAAAATTTGAAAAATTAAAAAATATTGAAGAACTGAAAAATCGAAAAGCCTAAAATATAAAACATTGAAAAATTAAAATATCGTAAAATTGAAAAATGGAGAAATCTAAAAATCAAAAAATAAAAAAAATAAAAATTGAAAAATCTAAAATATAAAAATCGAAAAACTAAAAAATCAACACATCGAGAAATCAAAACACGAAAACTAAAAAAAATTGGAAAACTGAAAAATCGAATAATATAAAAATCTAAACACAGGAAAACCGAAAAGTCGAAAAGTAAAAATCAAAAACCGACAAATCGAAACATCGAAAAATTCAAAAACTGAGACATCGAGAAATCGAAAAATCAAAAGATGGAGAAATCGAGGAGTCGAAAAGTCGACAAGTCGAAAAATCGAAAAATTGAGAAACCGAAATAGGCCAAAATCGACAAATCGAAAAGTTAAAAATGGAAAAATTGATAATTCGGGATCTCAAAAATTGAAAAATCGAAAATTTAAAAATTGGGAAAATAAAAAAATTAAAATATAGAACAACTGATAACTCGAGAAATCGAAAAATCTAGAATTTTAAAAATGAAAAATTACAATATCGAGAAGTTGAAAAATTGAGAAATCGAAATATAAAACGGTCGAAAAACTGAAAAATAATAAAAATATCATAATAACTATATCTACTATAATGGCCGTTCATTTTTTTATTTAAATAAAGGATGAATTTAAACGCATACACCAGGCATCCTCCAAAAATTGGGATTTATTGGCATGTTGTCAACATGTGCTTATCATAACAATAATAATTAAAGAAAAGCTGAAATTTGGTTAAAATTGGACAAAAACTTTTCACCAGTCCACCGTTCATTTGGGGATGGGTTATTTTGCTTTAACGTAATCGCACTGGCCACAAGTCTGATGAGTTGGTGTTCGTCCAGACTACTGTTAACGTAGTTCACAAGAAAAAAGGAGGGAGAGCCACTATCCACTATTACGTTTGTGGATGAAGTGAAGTGAGGGGTAAAACGGAGCATTAGCCCCGCACTTGTCCATAAGGTTGCTTCTCTTTTAACATCTATACTCACTGATTATGCATAATAACTAGACATTTTAGGAATTATGCGTAACAACTGAATTTTTCAGTTATTATGCATAATAACGGAAACGTTTAGGTAATATTGATAATAACTAACAGAGGAACAAGAAATCATTTTGTACGTTAAACCTCGCTATTAAAACAATAGTTTAATCGAAAGGATGAATAAAATGTGCAACACTTTATTCACACTGTCATTGACAACACGTATAAAGTAAAAAAACTAAAAATTCGCACTACCACTGAAATTTTCGTTGCTATGGATGTGTAGATATTTAACTAAAATTTGCAACGCTTGATAGTCCACCTCCTATAAAACAATCCTAATGAAAGTCCAGGAGCATCGTTTGAATTTGACCGTGACGAAAGTACAGGCAGCTTAGGCATTTTACCTTCTTCAAATGTTCATGATATTGGTAATAATACAATTAATATTTATGTATATGGATTACCCAAACAATACATTTTTTGAAAAATTGTGCGAAATTGGAAAAAATCTTGTATGATACACTGTGCTAAACTGTTTTTTCGTTGGATAAAATTCACTTTTATTCACTTATACCATAAATAGCTATTGTCAATTTATGCCAATTCTTGTTTATTTGACAATAATATCTGTTAAAAAGAAACTGATATTTTTGACACATAGTGGCCGTTTTTAATCTAGTCTAAAAAGCCTTTTCAAACTATGAAAAATTAATAAAACCTAATAGAACTTTTTCTGAAATGTCGTTTTTTGAAGCTAACCATATCATGCACAAAACTTATCAACACTCACCTATTTCTTTCTCTTTTTCGGATAGTTCAGGGTTAATGTATGCTTTTCGTTCTTCCTCCCTAATTATTTTCTCTAGATCAGAAAGCAAAGTCTTAATTTCAGGAGTTCTATGTTCAGACATGGACTTCTCGTAATAAGTTTTAGCATTGTGAAAATCCTTCAGCCTCTTGTAAGCATTCCCAATTCTCAGAAAAGATTTAGCAATCAATTTAAAATCTGCTCTATTCGCCCTGCCAATATCTATGGCCTTTTCACACTCTTTTATGCATTTATCATAATCCTTTTGCTCGAAATAAACCGCAGCTAAATTATTATAAAATGTAATGTCGGTTGGATCAAGCTCGATCGCTTTATTGTAGTGCTCGATTGCTTGTTCAAACGCCTTCTTCTTATAAAACTCATTCCCTTGCTCTTTTTCTGCTTTAGCAAGCTCTTTAATTTCAGCTAATTTTGGCGTTGTTGCCTTTCTGAATTCCTCCTTTAGGTCGACATTTTTGGGAGGCGCTGTGTTCGCAGATTCTGTTCCTTCATCTGGATCAACCCCCAAAAGTACACTCAAGGTTGTCAAAACTTCGGGATCATGCAACATATCAGTTGCCAAATGCGGATTTGATTGAAGCAACCGTATTTTCGATTCATAAGATGGGTTACGTAGTAGTGCTGCAGTCCGTGGATCACTCCAAAGCTTAGCCATAAGATCTACTCGATTGAAAGGGTTTGGGAAGCCTCTTGAAAACACTTTCCGAGCCCGAACTTCCTTCAGGGCTTGTCGTAATTGTGCATTGTTTGGATCTACCTCTAGACCCTTCGTATAGGTCGCGATGGCCTCGTCTAGGCGTCCTAAATAAGCTAAAGCCGTCCCTTTTCGTGAATAACCTTTCGACCAGTCAGGTTTGATTTCCACGGTTTTGTTAGCATCTGCAAGGGCTCGATCGAATATATGAGCCTTTGCGTAAGCGGCTGACCTATTTGAGTACAAAACGTGGTTTTTTGGGTCTAAATTAATCGCTTCTGTATAATAGTCTATCGCATCTCCGTAATGCTTTGCTTCTAGTGCGGCATTGCCTTTATCTTTCAGAGCGGCAACCTGTGACAACAATGCGGTTTTGTTCAAATTTGAAAAAGTAATACTTTTCATGGGACGCAAAATAGATATAAAGTACAAATATATGTTACGAAATTGAAGTACTCACCTGAGCCATGCTTATTTATTGTTTTTTTAATCAGACAACACGCTTCGAAACTGACTCTTCTCGGCAAATCGAAGTCTCTAGATTCTTATTCGAGAAGTTTCCAGTCATCAAGCAACTCCCCCACTCTTCCTTTCTGTCAAAATAACAGTTTTATGACAGTTGAAACTTTTTTTTTATAGTTTTTCACACTGTTAAATGAATCCATTTTAAAACAGTCATCTAATCAATACAAAAATCATTTTTTATTATTTTGTGCATAGCAAAATAATAAAACTAATAATAATTTAATATTTTTATACCAACTGTATGCAGAGACATCTTTGAAATAACGAAGCAATCTCTGGAGAAACTATCTGTGAGTGTGTATTAATGGTTGCATAAAACACTACCCGCAACAATAATTTATTATTTTCGTCAGTGATGGCTCGTAACTAAAAATGAAAAAAATTGGTCGAATATTATTTCGACACAACTTCGTTCGTCCCTGTAGTCAACAAATCCCGCTTCTTTGAAAAATTTTAAAACTTGATTTTGCGATTGTTGTTTAGTGATAACCGCTATAAAGTAAAAGTCAGTGGTGTAAATAAAACACCCCAGCAGTCCCCGCGTCACAAAATCCAAAGTTTCCGCACAAGTTCAGACAGTATGAAATATATTTAAAGCTGATAACCAACGAGAAAAACTGTGTTATCAGTACCACAGTATCAGTACATTCTTAACATCGATTGCTTATATTCTCTAATCTCCTTGATTTCAACGATATAGCAATCAACGATCGATAAAAAGCGTCGCCATGGTATGTACAGTTGCGGCCTTCCAAAAGTACATTTATTTTTCTCTATTGTAAATGTACCTTCAAATCATGGGCGTCCGAATAACACAGTGTTTGTCAAATTTGACATTTTATTTACTCAAAAATGCTACGCCACTGGTAATAGACAAGCACTTTGTCTTTTTGTTTTAATATGTGTGTAGACTTCTTTTCACAACATGAAATGTAAAACATGTTTAAAATGGAAAACTGTTACAAAGAAATATCGATTTTGCAATTAGGTTCCGCCCCCTAATTGCAAAATCCATATTTCCTTACAAAAATGTACCATTTTAACTATGTTTTAAGTTTCCTGTTGTGAAAAGATAACTACGTATATTAAGAAAAAATTAAACCCCACCCGTACCTACCATGATCTAAATAGTAATGAAGTTTTCATTCGTTGGCAGGTCTAGGAGCGGAGCCTAATTACAAAATACATAAATTCCTTACAAAAATTTACCATTTTGAACATGTTTTAAGTTTCTAAGAGTAGAAAAATCATCACAACTGAAATGGGGTGTGTGGGCAGGGTTTATATTTTGCTTTTTACTTCCCGAGCGTAAGCAAAGGAAGTATTGTAATCGAGTCCGTCGGCCGACTCTCTACTGTTACGTTTTCTCGATCTTTCATGACCCCTAGAAGACGAAGAAATAGGTCTCCCATTTCCGTCTGTCTGTCCGTCCGTCTGTCCGTCCGTATGTCCGTCTGTTGTCCCGGATTTTTATTAGACAGATAATCTCCGAAAGTACTCGACCGATTGTTGTGAAATTTTGTACTTATATTAAGAATATCATGTAGATGGTAAAACGCTAACCAAAATTTGTCTAATCATCCCCACCACTAATGCGATGACGTCACTTCAAAATTGTACATAGTAAATGGGTTTTCAATTGTATAAAATAACACAGTCCTACACATGTAGTTTACAACTCCGAATTGACTTTTCACCCGAAACGTCCAGATTTTTGGAAAATAAATCAAAATTATAAAACAACATTTTGAAATTTAATTTTTAATCTGCTAACCAGAATGCTTTGAAATGTTGCAGATGTTTTAAGGCTATAAAGAGCATTATAAATCTTTAGTCAAAAATATTTGCTTATCCCCTCCAAAAACTTGATGACGTCAGCTCGAAAGTTTGCCGAATAAATCATATCTAAAATGTACAAAATATGATCAGTCTGTACTTGTGATCTATCACTCCATTCATATTTTTTGGATTTGCATATACAGGGTGATTCAAAAAGATTAATGAAAGCGTAAATTTATTTTACTGATTTACTCAGAAACTACAAAACCGAATGCTTTGAAATCTTGAAGATGTTTTAAGGTTATAAAGAGCATAATAAATGTTTAGTCAAAATACATTTGCTTATCCCCTCCAAAAAATTGATGACGTCAGCTCAAAAGTTTGCCGAATAAATCCTATCTAAACTGTACAAAATATGATGAGTCTGTACTTGTGATTTATCACTCCATTGATTTTTTTTTGGATTGGCATATACAGGGTGACTCAAAAAAATTAATGAATGCGTAAATTTATTTTATTGATTTACTCAGGAACTACAAAACCGAACTCTTTGAAATCCACTGCGAAAAAAAAAACATAGCTAATAGGCATGCAGTCGTCACGTTTCCGACAGCGAGGGAAGTACTGTCTAAACTCTTTAGACCAATTTTTTTTTTTAGTATACATAGTATTCTTTGAACAACACGATACTCAAAAACATGTTTTTAATTTGTTGTAAAGTAATAAGTATTTTGCAGTTAAGCTCCGCCCCTTTGGCTCACGGCTAATAAAAAAAAATCATCACAATTGAGATAGGGCGGGTGGGCGGGTTCACATTTTGGCTTTTTGTTTTAATATGTGTAGACTTCTTTTCACAACATGAAACTTAAAACATGTTTAACATGAAAAATTTGTATAAGCAATTAAGCTTCGGTCCTCGGTCTGATAACGAATGAAAAATTCATCACGATTGAGATCGAAATGGACGGCTGGGGCTTTAATTTTGCTTTTTTTTTTAATTGATATATTTAGTTTTCTTTCTATAACACGATTACTTAAGAATATATTTCACATGGTAATTTTACAATTAAGCACCGCCCCTCGGCTTAAAACTAAAAATAATCATTAGAATTGAGATAGGGCGGGTAGGCGGGGCTTATATTTTGCCTTTTTTTAAACCACCTTTTCACAACAAGAAACTTAAAACATGATTAAAATGGTACATTTTTGCAAAGAAATATGTGTTTTGCTATTATGGGGCGGAGCCTAATTGCAAAATCGATATTTCCTGATACAAATTTTCCTTTTTAAATATGTTTTAAGTTTCTTGTTGTGAAAAGATAACTACGTATATTAAGAAAAAATTCAAAATAAAAGCCCCGCCCACCCGCCCTGTCTCAATTGTGATGATTTTTTTTATTCGCCGTGGACCAAGGGGGCGGAGCTTAATTGCAAAATACTTATTTCTTTACATGAAATTAAAAACATGCTTTTGAGTATCGTGTTGTTCAAACAATACTACGTATACGTATTAAGAAGGAAAGGCAGAATATAAACTCAAAAACATGTCTTACATGGTAATTTCTTGTAGAGAAATAATAAGGATTTTGCAATTAAATTCCGCTCCTTTGGCTCTTGCCGTTTAAAAAAAATCATCACAGTTGAGAGAGGGCGGGTGGGTGGGGCTACATTTTACCTTTTTTTTTTTTAATATGTGTAGACTTATTCCGACAACAAGAAACTTAAAACATGTCAAAAATGTTAAATTTTTGTAATAATCAACTTAAATCCTCCACTTTTCTTCTTCAACCCCTTTAAATACATCAAACACACAATTTTAAATCTTTTGGATTTTATCTGCACCTGTCCCTCGTCCATTTCACTCATATTATTAGGGACAAATCCTTGATTGTCTTGTGCCGGTGATCAGCCACACAAAAAGGGTCATTATTTCTCATTATTAGGTTTAGTGGGGCCATATAATCTTGCAAAATCTGAGAAACTATACTATTACTCATTAGCGGGAGATTTTTGACTGTTCACAATTATACGGGAGTTTCGTTGATTTTACGCTCCCTAGGGAGCGTAAAATATTACACCTTAATAATTCTTTATTGCAAGAAAATTTATTAGGTATTATTAATTTTTATTTCACGAAGTACAACTGCCGACTATTCAGTTTTTAGAAAAGCACAGAACATTATTTAGTAAATAATTAATTCATAAAGCAACGAATGCTATTTAGAGCTGTCAAATCAAGGTTTTCTTGAATAATTATAACTAGGAAAACTTGCAAACTAAAAAAAAATATTAGTAAAATATAAGTCACCAGTAATTTTAGTAATAAGGTAATGAAGAGTAACGCATTTTTTGGAGCCATCTCTAGAGTGGTTGCAAAAAGTAACAAATATTTTTTTTATCTGAAGCAACTGACTGGGTTTTCAGCACGTGATAAGGGCCGACAATATTTACAACTGTGGATTTACCCACACACTTCCGGCTTAAAATTACTACCTGCCTACCCATGTTTTTCGAAAAGAATTTATTTTCATTAGGAAATACACAGTTTGGGACTTTCATGTTGTAAAAGGATTAACAAACTAAAATTTCCAATGAAGAAACAAACCGTTCTAAGAAAATCAACCGAATACCTTGGTAAATTGAACTATTGTACCTGTTTGAGATTACTACCTGACCTGATCAACTACTAAACGAAAAATCTTTGAGTAATAAAAAAATGCAAATAGTGGAAATTATTTATAAAATATACAGCAGACACCAAATATGCAGTAGTATATGTAATATGCGAATATGCCTCTACTTACAAAATAGCTAAAATAACAGTTACTTAATTGAAAACAGAAATAATAAAAAAAGACATATCTGTACAAGTTAGGGGTCGATATGTCTAATAGTTTGAAACATGTTTTTGTCTGTCTGGTATCATAACTATGTTAGGAACTTTAATAATATAATAATAAATAAATAAACTTTATTTCCAACAGGTTTTACACCCACTTACAGGAAATAATAAAATTAAACTATATGTGATTAAGAGAGTACATAAGTTACTTAATTTAGAAATTATTATAAAAAAGAAAAAAAAAAATACAGAGAAACCTGGCTAAACTGCACCAAAATTAAATAAAACTTCCTAAATTTAAAGACCAAATTCTTCAATAATAGCACGGCTTAACGAACTCGCCTTGTCAAAATTAATATCAAACTTCCTACATATTTGGTTATAGTAATTGCACATTAAAGATATGGGTGATTTATACATAGCATTGGTTCTATTGAACGAA